AAGGTAACAGTAACTTGTGGAAGATAATCATTCCGACTAACTTACGCTCTTATTGCAAATCCCTTAAGATCTAAATTTACATTGAGCAGAATTCTAAATTATCTTTTTTTTAACAACTAAAGCCTAGGACTGGGTACTTCTATAATCTGCTCTAATGGATGTACCTGTTTTGATAGAATCCATTTGAATTTTGTAATTTACAAGGGTTATTTGAACTGCTCAGCATCTTAATTTTTTTTTGTAAAGTACATTTTCCTATTTTGTCATACTCTTAGATCACCAAAGATTTGTGCTAATGTAAAGAAAACTAATATTATTACTTGCTGATAACCAATATTTTTTAGGTATCACAACTAATTCATATATATCTTTTCATCTTTCAGTTATTTGAGGGGATGAAGGCATTTCGAGGTCGAGATGATGAAATCAGACTCTTCCGTCCTGACAAAAACATGGAACGCATGAATCGCACGGCTGCTAGATCTGCTCTCCCAAATTTTGATGGAAATGAATTGATTGAAATACTCAAAAAACTCATCAGCATTGATCAAGAATGGGTGCCCCATGCAGAATCCTCAAGCTTATATATTAGACCTACTATGATAGGTACTGAGGTAAGTTGAATATCTATAGATGACATATAATGGCTGTAAAGTTTACTTATTTGTTAATTAGCTTCTATAAATTTGTATATACAGCATGTAGATATATGATCAGAACTTATATTGCTCTTTATTATTTCTCAGCAGCTGATGCTTATTGGTGTATCTCATAAGGATTTAAAACTTTGCAGTTTAAGCCAATAATATTTTATAAATGAAAAGTGATATTAAATAGGTTAGTTCTTTGGAGAATAACTTCTGTTTGCAGAATATCAGTGTTATGATAATGTAGCTTAGTATCTTACAAAAATACAAATGGAATTTGTATATAAAAATAATGTATTTCTTTTCATCAATCAGCCAACATTAGGTGTGCAACGTCCCACCAATGCCCTGCTCTTTGTTATCCTGTCACCTGTTGGGCCGTATTTCTCCAGTGGATTCAAACCCGTGTCTCTGTTGGCCGACCCTGAGTTTGTACGTGCTTGGCCTGGTGGCTGTGGAATGATGAAGATGGGATCTAATTATGGACCCACTTTAGCTATCCAGGTTAGTAAACTTCAAGATCATTATTTGATTGGGTGTATTATAATTTATATTGTTTTAATGATTACTTTTTCTTTCTGAAGATCACAGGTGTTTCCGTTTTAATTCTAAAATATATAGATTACTTCAGGTTCCTATTTTTGTTGCAGAAAATTGCAGAGGAACGAGGTCTTCAGCAAGTGTTGTGGCTTTTTGGGCCAGACCATAAAATCACAGAAGTTGGAGCAATGAACATTATGGTTTTCCTTGATAAGGGAAATGGAGGTTAGTTTGGATAGTGAAATATAGTTGTATAACTTAAATGTATTTGCCTCACCTATACTCTGTATACTGTACTGATTATAGATCATCATAATAAAGTAAGGATCAGTACAATAAACTATGGTAAACTGTTTCTTTGACAGAAAAGGAGCTAGTGACTCCACCCCTACATGGGTTAATCCTGCCTGGAGTTACCAGAGACACACTTTTAACATTAGGAAGACAATGGGGAGAATTCACTGTAAGTGAGCGTGACATTACAATGGCTGAGGTAGTCCAAGCAGAAAGTGAAGGAAAGGTATGTATGTGAAAAACACAGTTCTTGTTGTGTAAAAATATTAGAAACTGTAATTAGGCCATTTTACAGTTTTACTTGATCTGCATATTTGTTATTGATAATCCTTTTGAAGATCTATGCATAAGAAGCAAAAGGGTAACATGATTTTCAGTAAATAATACCCATACTCAGGCATAATTTTGCATGCTAGAATTCTTACCTATTTTTGACTTTAACAAACAAAATCAAATTTCTTTACAGCTATTAGAAATATTTGGTGCTGGAACTGCGGCTGTTGTAACACCAGTGGGGGAGATCCACTATCAGGGAAAAGTTATAAAGATGCCCACTTTGAAACCCGAAGAGTCTCTTGCACAGCGCTACTTTAATACTATCAAAGAGATCCAGTACGGCCATGTCTCTCATGAATGGAGTGTTCCTATTGAGTGATGAATTCATATTAAAATGTCTTAATCTATACAATGCAAAATTAGAAGTTTACTAATGAAAAGAATCATAGTAAGTACAACAGTATACTTCTGTATTGTGTATCACAATCAAAATGTTAAGAACTGAACATGTGATAGGCCTTATAGTCAGTTATGACAGCTGTAGAATCACTTTACTTAATTATTTAAGTTCAAGCAATGACAAAACAAGCAAAGGTTAGAGTAGTTGACATAGACAATCCACTTTGCATATGGTTTGGTAAGTAGTTTACATATACTATGCAAAAGTAGGATGAAAACCATTTCAACTTTGTCAGAATAAATTACTTAGTTTAGAGCCTCTGAAAGTACACTTTATATATAGCTGTAGAACAGATAGATGTGCAGATAACTGAGGTATTTTCTATGCTTTAGTTTACATAACTTGAAATATGGAAGGCAGCTTCACTTGAGTAAAACTAGGAATTGTATTTTATTATAAGGTGCAAATTGTTGAAGAGGAATTCAGGGCAATATTCAGCATGGTAATTTTAGTTCATATATATTTTTTTTATAGTAAATTAATTTCAATACATTTGCTAGAAATTAAAAAATTTGTGTCCACAGATGTGTGTATGTGTTCATGCGTGCATGTGTGTGAGTGCCTGTGTATATGTTGTATTTTGTTTGTTTTGTATGCACATTCAGAATGCATATATCATTCTGTAGATAAAGAAGCTCAAATATGCTGTGGCCCAGTATCTTCCAGAATATTTGTTGCCATACTGTTATTGCAACTGAAAAATCTCCCATTAAAAACAATGCTAAATATTGATCATACCAAGGAACAAAGACAAAATAAATGACCTGAGGTTCTAAATATTCTAGGACATGGATCTGTCAAAAGTAATAAGTTGTCTTTACATCAATGATTAATCAGAGAATCTCATACCTATTGCTGGTATCATTTAATTGTATACCAAAGTTGTATTTTCTCTAATTTAATTCATTAGAGATTAGGAATTGGAACAAGGGGCATCAGGGAAGGTGGTTGTGATATAGGTAACTGTAGGGGTAACTAAGAAGACTGTTTTCAGGAAAGGTTACAGTCTTGTGGGCATATATAAGGGTTTTCTTCAGAATATGGGTGATGAGCTTATGCATCACTTTAGAAGTATGGTGATAATGAAAATAAAATTTGCAACATTATTTTTTTTACAATAAAACAATGTATTTTTCCTCCATAGAAGAAATATGAAACATAAATATATTTATTTTCTTCATGCAGACTGTATATTTATTTAGTTATTTTTTCTCCATGGTCTTGGAGTGTAATTTATGTTCTTTTTTTGATCTTGGCAAATCCAAACCCGAATTAATTAAATGAAAACATATAATATGTTATGTGTTTACTTTGGTTGATACCAAGAGATACTCCCTATTGTTAGATTTTCCATGTTAAGAATGCAACTCAAAGGGATTTTTGTTTTCCATAATGAATATGACACTATCAAGAATTTTTACCATTTTTGTTGTGATATAAAGCCTTGCAAATTTGAAATTAATAAGGCCTAATGCTGCAGTTCAAGATGTTATCATTGTATAATAGACTGTGGAGTGGGGAACAGATACAAAATTGTGTGGAATGTGGTTTTATAATTATAAATAAACCCATTGCTGCTGGTCATCACTCTGTCTACTGTAGTTTATTTTGTGAATTTTGTTTGCTCATTTGATGGCTCCATCCATCAAGGAACCAATTAGTAAGCCTATGTGACCTCACGTGATTTGTCTTTTCCTTGGGTTTTCATGAAAATTTATTTTTCTCAATTGCTATTGACATTGTTGTTATTGCTATTGACTTTATGATTATTGTAATGTTAACAAAACTAACAGCAATGGCAGATTTTTTTCTCCAAAAATCAAGGAAAAGGGTAAACAAATGAGAGAGATAGGACAAGTAATTGACTATAGTGATTAAGTACATGTGGAGCCATCTGTGCGTAAAGACAATTGATAAACAAAAAACGTGTTAGACATAGTATGTATTTTTGCCATCCCAACATTGGGTTAAGGAGGATTATTTTGATGATGTTAGTGATAAACTTTTTGCAGAGGGCTTCATTTTTCACATCATAAACAGAGAAGATGCTCATAATCTGCACAAGTAATTTCATTCACTTAAAACTTTTTAATAATATTTAATATGATAATATTTTATTTGTTTGGGCCATTCTCATTAAATTTATGCTGTAATAGTTTGCAGTAGATTATTAAAGGACCAAGTTAAAGATCTTATTATATGCTGTGTTGCACATTATTTACTTGACAGAATAAAGGGGTATAACTATGTGTGAATATATGCCATATTGAAGATGTAGTTAATGAGACTAAATTGTTTTTGTTTTGATAATGATTGCACTGTTAATGCATGTCATATGCAGTCTTTCACATTTTTTAGATTATAAAAACATATAATTCTGTGATGCATACAATTTGCAAAATAATGTATTGGCATATATTTTCATTTTATGGAAAAGTGTTGTTTATTCTCATCAGATTTCTTGTAGATAGGAGTACTTAACATAGTTGTGTATTTAGTGATCTCACCCATTACAAAAGTTGATGTACATGTATATAAATGGAAATATTTTTAGAAGTAGTTTTGTAGTGATATCTTTTAGGTTTCCTGTATATTTCTATGTTTCTCATGTGCTACTTTCCAGTCAAAGAGAATAATTTAAAAGTGTAGCTGTTTACAATTTCAGTGAAATAAGGATATATATGTGTTCACATAATTGGTTTGATAATAGAATATCATGTATCCTATATTTTTCTCCTTGTCTTATGATCTTCCATTCTGATATTGAGAGCAAAATCTGGATA